GCCATTTCACCGCCGCCCCGGCTAATATGGCGATTTGCTTGTTGCTCTCTTTCCAGCTTTATTTTTTAGCGTTTTTTTTTTTTTTAAAGTCAGCTTTGATAAGAACGCACTGCATCTACTTCACAAATTTGAAATGGGAACACTAATTCTGAGATTGCATTAAAGGCAGTATTTGAACGCATAGGATGGGAGGGTAAAGGAAATTTATATGACCTGATTTTATAAAATACCACACGTTTACAAAGCTTTTATTAGTTGTTTTTTTTTTGAGCGATGGTCTCGCTGTGTCCACCAGGCTGGAGTGCGGTGGCCGAGGATCTCAGGCTTCACTGCAGCTCGCGCGCTCCCGGGTTTAGCCATTCTCTGCCTCAGCTTCGATTAGCTGGGAACCTACAGCGCCGCCACCGCAGCCCGGCTAATTTTTTGCTATTTTTTAGTGGAGACGGGGTTTCACCTATTAGCCAGAATGTCTCGGATCCTCCCTGGACCTCGTGATCCGGCGCCGTCTCGGCCTCCCAAAGTGCTGGGATTCAGCAGGCTTGAGCCACCGCGCCCGGCCCAGCTTTATAGATTTTTAACCAAGCCTTTTCATTTATAGTTCGTAAGAAATTTATGGCAAGAACTTGGAATGGTATTTACTTTCCTTTTTAAAGTGTGCATATTCTTTAGAACTGGGAAAAGGATCCTGACCTCCATTGTAGAGGACTCTTATCCTTATTTTATGTTTTATATTCCTTTTGACCTTTGACCTTCGTTACAGGCAAAGAAGAGTAAAACCAAAATGCCATCTTTGGTAAAAAAGTGGCAGAGTATCCAGCGTGAGTTAGATGAAGAGGACAATTCTAGTTCCAGTGAAGAGGATCGAGAATCAACTGCACAGAAGCGAATTGAAGAGTGGAAGCAGCAGCAGCTGGTTAGGTAAAAGAAAAGGGAACACAGATGAGATGGGGTTTTAGACTAGGTTGAGACCTACTATGAGATGGAGTAGGTTGTGGTTGTTACGGATGCATTAGAATAGACATATTCTTAAAATCACAGCTTGTAAATTTATCTAAATGTTTCTTATTTATAAACATGTTTAATGCCTTATAGAAATTATGGTCTAGCCTTTTTTCAAAATCAGAAACATCAGAGTTGTAGTATTTTGTCCAGTTGATTGTTGATCTTAGGCAAAGACCTGTCTCAACTCAGTACATCATTTACTATCTAGATCCAGTGGAACCTTTTATGCACACACACACACACAACATATAAATTTATTTTACAAATAATTTATAGAATTAGACCCTTTTATACACACACACATTAACTTATTTTACAAATAATTTACAGTATTAGAATAAAGTTTTCCCCCATCCCTATATTTCAGTCAGGCAAGGTAGAATACAGAGCTGCCTTCTGAATTGCACTTATTCTAGAATAGAAGTTAATGAGTGAGCACACCACACTAGGAACTAAATGAACTTCTTTTAGGTAAGAAAATCCTTCACTACCTTGCTTGACTAGAATAAAAGGATAGGGAGAACTGGCTTCAAGTAATTGCGCCTCAGCCTCCCAGAGTGTTGGGATTATAAGTGAGCCACCACACTCAGGTTAGAAATGTTTTTTATGATGAAAGCACATGTTGGGCCGGGCACAGTGGCTCACGCCTGTAATCCCAGCAGTTTGGGAGGCCAACGCAGGCAGATCACGAGATCAGGAATTCAAGACCAGCGTGGTCAACATGGTAAAACCCCATCTCTACTAAAAGTACAAAAATTAGTTGGGCCTGGTGGCGAACGCTTGTAATCATTGAGGCAGAAGAATTGTTTGAACCCACGAGGCGGAGGTTGCAGTGAGCCAAGACTGCGGTTTTGCACTTCAGCCTGGACAACACAGCAAGACTCCATCGCCAAAAAAAAAAAAAAAAAAAACATGTTGGCTGGGCACTGTTGCTCACACCTATAGTCCTAGATGCTTGGGAGGCTGAGGCAGGAAGATGGCTTTCTCAAAAATTCTAGAAATTTTAAAGACTTAAGACACAGCAAATACAATTTTTTATTTCATATTTTCCTTGTTTTAAAGGTACACATTCTGAAATGGGCAGCATTCTTTGACTGCAACTCACTGTTCATCAGTTGTCAATGTATAAACTAGAACACAGCTGTCTAATACTGATGCCAGATTTCAAATTCATCTCTGATAGGTTCTGGCTTATTTTTTATTAAAGGATCTAATGCATCCATTCTGTTAACTGCAAGATACAATTTGAATTTTAATACTTACAAGTAAAACTACTTGAAAGAGAAACTCAAAAATACTAGATCCGACTGGGCACAGTGACTTACGCCTGTAATCCCAGCACTTTGGGAGGCTGAGGCGGGTGGATCATGAGGTCAGGAGTTCGAGACCAGCCTGGCCAACATAGTGAAACCCTGTCTTTACTAAAAATACAAAAATTAGCTGGACGTGGTGGTGGGCGCCTGTAGTACCAGCTACTCGGGAGGCTGAGGCAGGAGAATCGCTTGGACCTAGGAGGCAGAGGTTGCAGTGAGCCGAGATCATGCCACTGCACTCCAGTCTGGGCAACAGAGTGTGACTCCATCTCAAAAAAGAAAAAGAAAAAAAAAGTTAGATCCAAGGGTCCCTGTTGGTAGATTGAGGGTTAGATATATTTGCCCTGAAGAATCATAACTCCTATGGGCTAAGAAAAACTTTAGTAGAACGTGTTTTATTTCTTGAGTGTGCCTTTAATGGTTATTGGAGGTATATTTATATAAAATAAATAAGGCCAGGCATGGTGGCTCACGCCTGTAATCCCAGCACTTTGGGGGGCCAAGGCAGGCAAATCACCTGAGGTTGGGAGTTTGAGACCAGCTTCACCAACATGGAGAAACCCTGTCTCTACTAAAAAAAATTAAAAAAAAAAAACCCAGGCGTGGTTGCGCATGCCTGTAATTCCAGCTACTCTGAGGATCCCAGCTACTTTAAGGGGAGGCTGAGGCAGGAGTCGTTTGAACCTGGGAGGCGGAGGTTGCGGTGAGCCGATATCACACCATTGCACTCCAGCCTGGGCAACAAGAGCAAAATTCCATCTCAATCAATCAATAATAAATAAATAAATATGCGCTTAGACGTATACATAAAACCAGGAGAGTGTTTGGTTGACCTATCAGAATGAAGAAGTTTGATGAAGAATATACTGATATTTGGCTGAGAAACAAAAGATTTTCATAAACATAGATGTGATCAGGTTTTTAATTTCAGTTAGATTTTTATTTGCTAGGAAATGAATACCTCTGTTAATTTTTCTTTCCACTGAAATAATCTGTATGTTGTTTTCACAGTGGCATGGCAGAGAGAAATGCTAATTTTGAAGCCCTTCCTGAGGATTGGAGAGCAAGACTAAAGCGAAGGAAAATGACTCCAAACACATAGTTTTTAAGTTTTTAAAACTTTTTTTGTATTATTACTTGTTTTGTGTTCAGTTCAAAGTCTTAACCAGTTTTATTGTCAAATAAACTATAAATGTTATGGGGGAGATCTTATAAATTTTCTGGGCAAGAGTGTATGCATACAAAGTTTTCACTTTTGTGAAATGTAATTTTTCTGTTTTGCTAAGGGATGAGGTGATTGGAATTGCTTTGACCATGCTGCCTTTATTCTCAAACTGGCAAACTTAGCATGTCAGGTATATTAACCTCATCAATCTTGAAGAACATGTGGTTCATGAGGATAACACCTCTGTAGAGGACTCCCTGACAAAAGTGAAGAATTAACTTCTCCTCCAGAACAAGTGCAATTCAGAAGGCAGCTCTGCATTCTACCTTGCTTGACTGGAATTGTCTGAATCTTTTTCTGGCCTCTTTTCTCTAGTCGGCCACCCCTGAAGTGCTGAGGTCTAAGTGGTTTACCTCGTGCTGATAGATGGCCACACTCTTTAGAGTAGTTCTCATAAATTCTAGAACTGGTAGCTCAGTCGTTTCGCACACTAGGTGGCATACAAGCAGCAGCAGGTGTTCATATCGTTGATTTTGAGAATTTCCCCCCAAGTATGTGGCAGTAAATGCAAAGAGACAGTCTGTGTATTAATGTCTCCATTGTCTTAACCTTGTTCCAAAACAAAATTCACCTCCTTTCTTTATGTGAATGTATTCTCCATAAAATTCCAGTATTTAAAAAGCAGTTTACTGTTCTGTACTTTCTATTGTATCACAATCAGGTAAAAGTCACTTTAAACTGAGGAAACGGCAAATTGTGTTTTAAAGCTCTTTGTATTTCTCCAGTTTCTGACCTTGTAAATTTGTATATATGCACTAATAAAGCTTTTTTTATAATTCTGATGGGTTATCCTTTTGCTCATCAACACCTGTTATTCCGATTATGTAGCCAAGACTTGTTTTTTTTTTTCTAAGCATATACAATGCAAGGTGCAAACATTTAAGAACAGCTTTCAAGAAAAAGAGCAGATCTTGAATGGGGAGTGGTGGGGCCAGTTTAGACAAACAGGCTTCTAGTCCCAGATGGTGCTATGTGATCCAAGTTTTGGGGTCTAATATTATCTATAATATCTAGATTGGTTAATAGCCATATTAGATAATATTTGACCTACTGAATTCCTGGCAATGATGTAATATGGTTAACATTTCGAAAAAAGTTGCTTTATAGCTTTTTCCCCCATTGATAAAAGTATCAGATACGGTTATATTCATATATAGTTAACCAAAGACACGTGTTTGAATTTTATTGTAGTATATTTATTTTTTTGTTCTTGGGTTTTTGTTTTTTTTTTTTGAGACAATTTCGCTCTTGTTGCCCAGGCTGGAGTGCAATGGCACGATCTAGGCTCACTGCAACCTCCACCTCCCGGATTCAAGTGATTCCCCTGCCTCAGCCTCCCGAGTAGCTGGGATTACAGGCATGCGCTACCATGCCCAGCTAATTTCGTATTTTTAGTAGAAACAGGGTTTCTCCAGGTTGGTCAGGCTGGTCTCAAACTGCGGACCTCAGGTGATCCGCCTCCCTCGGCCTCCCAAAGTTCTGGGATTACAGGCGTGAGCCACCGCGCCCTGCCTGGAGTATATTTCTATGCATATAATTAATTTGTTAAACCTAATCAAAATGTGTGATTTGAATTTGCTAGCTTCGTTCCTTAAGATTTTCAGTGTAGAAGGTAATTTTTCCATTCTAGCTATGGATTGGACACAAGATGAAAGCAGCAGCAGCTCTCTTAGAGCAAAGCATGCACAACAATTATCTAAAGCCAACAGCAAACGAGCTTGGAAATATGTTGAAGGCTACTGGCATCGTACTCATCAATGCGGTTTCGATTCCCAGGTTGGGGCTGTAATGTATGAGGTGAAAAATGAGTCTGAATCGCCGCTGCCTGCCATACTCGCTGCAGACCTTCCCGGGGCTACCCGCTCCCTCCGTGGGGGCGGGGCCTAGCTTGCCGGAAGCGCCCGGCCGCCCCGCCCTTTTTCCGCTTCCGGCTCGCGGTTGCTAGGCTACCCGGGCCCTCACAGACAGCAGTGGCTGGCGGGTGTAGCTAGTTTGTCCTCTTACCCACACACTGCTTGGCCTCTGTACCTAAGTGCGGTGGCCGCCTGCCTCGCTGGGGCTTCTCTCCGCACCCATCCGTACTACTTGGGACGGGCCAGGGCGCGAAGGCGGTCGCACCCATCGCTCTGCCCTCCTGAGAAGTTTCTGTTCTCCTTCCCCCTTCCTACGCTTAGGAAACCCCCTCACCACCTGCCCCGGACCAGGTTCCTCTGAACCCTAAAGGGCCCGCTCTCCCAACCCCCTGACCTTTTTCCATCGACACTGACGGAGACGACTCCGTCGCGTGCTCCCATCCCCATTTCTTTCACTTTCCTGTGGCGAGCATCTCCCTTCTCAGGGAAAGGGAACCATGGGGCCAGCACCTTGGGAAGAAGAGGCGGGAAGACACGCCGCCCTCCCTGTCTCAGGTGCACCTCTGGCCTCGGCGTGACCATCTTGTTGAGCTGCGGAGAAGCTGGGTTGGCAGGGTTTTCTGAAGTCAAGAGGGAGCTGGGGGGCGCCCGGGGAGGTATTGGCAGTTTTTCACTTGTCCTGTTCTGGCTTTGTAGCTTCTCGTGTGTAATCTGCTGCCTATTTGGAAATTGGGCAGGATTTGCGACTGGACGCTAATGTCACTGACTAGTTTTCATCCTATCATCCAGAAGTAACATGTTCCCAGCCTTGGAAACGCACCTAAAGCAGGTCGGTACACAGCACAGAAAGCCACAGAAATTTCTTCGGGGAACTCCATTTCTTCGGGAGCTCCACAGAAATCTGCTACTAGATAAGAAGGGATGTTCTGGTGGCATCTTTTCCCAGCTGGAGATCTTGATCCCCACAATAGAATAATTCGCAGGAATGCAGTTTGCTTGGTTTAGTTTAGTTTAGTCACATGCAACAACGCTCGTGTACTTTTTGCTGAGTCCATTATGGTTTGAAAACATCTTGACTGAAGTGGCCTTTCCTTTCACAGACTATTCCTGATCCTTATGAAGACTTTATGTACCGTCACCTCCAATATTATGGCTACTTTAAAGGTAATATCATGTTCTTGTCTAGTATCACCTTTCCTGGACTCAAGAGGAAAATTGCTTCGTTAGCTGAGAGGGTTGCACTTAGGTAGACTAATAAGTAATTTGCATTGACAAATAAATATTTTTTCCTCTACCATTATTGCAAAGTACTTCCTTTCCCCATTGATCTGCAGGGTCATCTCTGTCAAGTAGAAAGCATCACTTAATACAAAGATCTGTTTCTGGGCTGTCTATTCCGTTGGTCTGTCTATCCTTTATCAATATCACTGTCTCTTAATTACTATATGGCATTAAAATAGTCTTTATCTAGAAAGACATGTCTTCCCACCTTGTTCTTCAAAAGTGTCATGGCTGTTCTTGAGTCTTTGCCTTCCTATATAAATTTTACAATTGGCTTATGACATTTTATTTTATTTTATTTTATTTTATTTTTGAGATGAAGTCTCGCTCTGTCACCCAGGGTGGAGTGCAGTGGCACGATCTCAGCTCACTGCAACCTCTTCCTCCCAGGTTCAAGAGATTCTCCTGCCTCAGCCTCCTGAGTAGCTGGGATTACAGGCTCAATCCTCCACGCCCGGCTAATTTTTGTTTCTTTTTTTTTCTTTTTTTTTTTGAGATGGAGTCTCACTCTTTTCACCCAGGCTGAAGTGCAATGGCGCAAACTCGGCTCACTGCAACCTCCACCTCCTGGATTCAAGAGATTCTCTTGCCTCAGCCTCCCAAGTAGATGGGATTACAGGCGCCAACCACCACACCCAGCTAACTTTTTTGTGTATTTTTAGTAGAGATGTGGTTTCAACATGTTGGCCAGGCTGGTCTTGATCTCCCGACCTCAGGTGATCCACCTGCCTCGGCCTCCCAAAGTGCTGGGATTACAGACATGAGCTACTGCACCTGGCTGTTTTTTTTATTTTTGAGATGGAGTTTCGCTCTTGTTGCCCAGGCTGGAGTGCCGTGGCGCGAGCTAGGCTTGCTGCAACCTCCACCTCCTGGGGTCAAGCGATTTTCCTGCCTCAGCCTCCCAAGTACCCCAGTAGCTGGGATTACAGGCATGCACCACCATGCCTGGCTAATTTTGGTGTTTTTAGTAGACACAGGGTTTCCTCATGTTGACCAGGCTGTTCTCGAACTCCTGACCTAAGGTGATCCACCCACCTTGGCCTCCCAAAGTGCTGGGATTACAGGCATGAGCCACTGTCCCCGGCCCGCTTATGACATTTTAAAAGATTGTAGGAATTGCATTGAATCTGTAGATCAGATTTCACAAGAACTGGCAATTTTTCAACACTGGATTCTCCAATCTATGACTATAATATATATCTCCATTTACTTAGGTTTTTAATGTCTCCCAATAAAGATTTATGGTTTTTCATAATACTTCATATTTTTATGCTATTATAAATGTTGATCTTCTTAAAATTTTATTTCCTAACTTTGTTATTGGTATATTGAAATAAGATGGAGTAATATTGATTGTATTAGTATTAATTTTATTTCTATCAAAGAATGTTGTTAAATTTTTTTATTAACTACATTAGTCGTCACCCCTTATTATCTACAGAGGGGAGGTTCCAAGACCCCTGGATGGCCTGAAACCACTGATAGTACTAAATCCAAATCACTCTCATTCAGAACAGACTTCTATCTTCCACCCACAAATTTAATGCCTTTTCCACCATAACTAAGTACTTATGCACTGTGGCCATAACTTTTGCAATTTGAAGTATGACAGCAAAACTATTATGAATTTCTTTTTTCTTCTTCACAATTCACAAATAGATTTGTTCTTACCATAGAACTTAGCAACCTCAGCATGCGTATATATTTTATTTATTTATTTATTTATTTATTTATTATTTTTTAGATGGTCTGTTTCTTGCCTTGGCCGGAATGCAATGTTGCAATCACAGCTCATTTCAGCCTTGACTTTCCAGGCTTAAGCGATCCTCTTACCTCCCAACTAGATGGGAACACAAGCACAAGCCAGCACACCCAGCTAATTTTAAAATATTTTTTGTAGAGACATGGTCTTACTATGTTGCTCAGGCTGGTCATCATACGATTTTTTACTTTCCATACAAAGTCAAGAACTTCAGGCTGGGTGCGGTGGCTCACGCCTGTAATCCCAACACTTTGGGAGGCCAAGGTGGGCAGATCACCTGAGGTCAGGAGCTCAAGACCAGCAGCCAACATTGTGAAACCCCGTCTCTACCAAAAATACAAAAAATAGCCGGGCATTGTGGTGGGCACCTGTAACCCCAGCTACTTGGGAGGTGGAGGCAGGAGAAACACTTGAACCTGGGAGGCAGAGGTTGCAATGAGCCGAGATTATGCCACTCCACTCCAGATTGTTGAAGTTTCAATACCCTCTTCATAGGGAGAGAGAAATTCAGGGAGGAGGGTGTGTAGACAATTGTGAAAGGTAGTAAATGATATTCAGGAGAAACGAATGAGCTCCAAAAATCATGTCCTGGGACAAAGTTCCTCTGAGCTCCGGGGAGGGGTGGCAAGCAAGTGAGGGGAGGAGCTTCACTGAAGAAAGGTTGTCTTACGCAAATAGTTGCCCAGGTAATCTCTGAGTTGCCCTCATAATTGCTGAAAAGTCTATCGGGATGTTGTGACAATTTTTAGTCTCCTCTTTAGTGGTTCATCTTTACTAGTTATTTGATGAGATTCCTAGGGAAGGGGTCTTAAAACAACTGCTTTTCTTTTGGAAAGAAGTTTCCTTAGTCAGATAAGGAATTCCAGAGAGGAGTCCTTTCCTGCTCTTGGGGTAGTGGGGAGACAGGAGAGGTCAGAAAGTCCTTGGTTCTGAGGCAGCTTCTAAGGCTTTTCTAATTTTTTTTAATTTATTTTTTCAACGGTTTTTTTTTTGTTTTTTTTTTTTTTTGAGACGGAGTCTCGCTCTGCCGCCCAGGCTGGAGTGCAGTGGCTGGATCTCAGCTCACTGCAAGCTCCGCCTCCCGGGTTTACGCCATTCTCCTGCCTCAGCCTCCCGAGTAGCTGCTGGGACACAGGCCCGCACGTCGCCTGCGAGTTTTTTTGTTATTCTTTTTATAGAGATCGGGGGTTTTTTTTCACCCATGTTAGCCAGGATGGTCCCCTGATCTCCTGACCATGCGATCCCCCCGTCTCGGCCTCCAAAGTGCTCGATTACCACTTGAGCCCCGCGCCCTGGCCACCAAACTCGGTTTATTATAAGATTAAAGGGTAGCAATTGCAAGT